GAAGGAGAAAAGGCCAAAGTGAAACTGACAGTTAAGTAATGACACAGTATGTCTATTGAATAGAATACTTTTTATGTTATTGATTGAATGACTGGTTTGAAAGTTAGCATAATAGTGCCTGTCATTATGATCATGTCTCTACATCCATAAGCAGTGGTGAATTACAGAGGTATTTCCTTAGGGTCCTGAGTCAGGTCTACACCACAGGTCAGCAGAGATTTTCTGTTAGGAGCCACATGGTAAGTATTTAACCTGTGGGCAATACAGTCTCTGCTGTAACTACTCAACTTTGCCGCTCTTGCACAACAGCACCATAGACAGTACGCAAATGCACGGACGTGGCCGCATCCCAGTAAACCTTCACAAAACTGGTGGTGGGCTGGACTGGCTCCGTGGTTTGCTCACTACTAGCATAAATAATGAAAGGGAAATATCTAGTGCAAAATGGTACTTAGCAAACTCTTGAATGCATCTTGAAACTCCAAATGGCGAGGAAGAAATATTGTATAGATCAGTGCAATTTTACTTTCGTGTAACAGGAAACACAATTTCACATCCAGTGAACTCCATACACAGTTGAACCAATTTTTCTATATATCATCAAAATCTGAGAATCATGTACCTGTGTGTAGTCACCAAAAGGCTGAGAATAAGCAATGCACTTTTCCAACGTGTGTTGTGATTCATTTCCCTGAGAGATTGCATCCAGAATGTTGCTTGCAATTCCAGTCTTCTGCAGAGCGGTTTTACTTGTAGGGGCTAATGACAAAATCAATACATGTATTTTAGTTGGGTTGTTTTATTATAAATTACAAACAGAGCACAAAACTCATTAACGCAGCACATTTTCAAACCAAACATAAATTGTAATTTGCCAGTAATAGCTAGATTTATTATCCCCAGGGGAAAAATATATGGTTATGCTATTGTCCCATTTGTTTAAAACAAATGAAAATGGAAGCCTGCCCTGTGGGTAAGTAACTTTGATAGAACCATTTAAAAAATGTATGTCTAATCTGTAAAACAAGACACATAAAATGTAAATTAACTAATCTTATTAATGCAATAGTTATAACCATCAATTTTTAGACCATATAAAAATACAGGAGGTATACTAGAAACACATTAAGTTTTTATCTAGCTTTTAAAGGAAAATTATAAAGTAATGTTTAGGTTTCAGAAGATACTTTATAAAATACAGAGTGTGTGTATTAAAAACAAAATTCACCTTTCATCTCTTTTCATTCAATCCTATTCTTTTCCCCAGAGGTAACAATTTATTTTCCTAGATTTACGCATTTACACATTCGAATATGTACATATAGGAATATAGGGCTTTAAGTGAATATAAATGGAATCATTTTATGCATACATTTGCTTCTCTACCTAACAATCTGCTTTAGAGATCGTGTTATATTAGTACATCTAGCACTCTCTTAACTTATATATACATGCTGAGTACTCCATTTTATGACGAACTGTGATGATTAATCACGCCCCTACTGATGTATATTAAGGCACTTTTCAATTTTTCACTACTGACAACCAATGTTAAATTTCTGGGGTTTTTTTCTTTTTTCTTTTTTAAGAGATCTCACAATTTTTTTTTTTAATCCTTCACGTGTGCTTTGTTTTTTTCTTGGATGGCGGTGGGTAATTAGGCTTCTTTACTTATTTAATGAAGGTACGGGGGATTGAGCCCAGGACCTCAGGCATGCTAAACATACACTGTACCACTGAGCTACATCCTCCCCCTCAACAACCAATGTCACAGTTAGTATCTTAGTGCCTAGAGAACACCATATATGTGATTTTCTCTTAATTTAGGTGGATTTCTCTTAATTTGAATTAATAGTTAATTTACGCTAATTGAAGGCCTGAGGAGGTATCTAAAAAAAGCAAATGAGAATTCTACTTCTGCCAATTATTACCAGACAGTATATTCTGGGGTATTTTGCAAATATTCTGGATTTGTGAGATTTCTTAAAGGTTTAAACATCGTATTTTAGAAATATGATTCCATATGTACTCTAAGGAATTATAGTATTGCCAAATAATTGCTTTACCCAATTATTTTAAATCATGATTCATAGTAATTCAATTAATTGATTATATTCTTAATAAATATTATAAAAGATGTTTTCCTTCAATAAAATTGAATAAATTTTAAGTGTCTCAGTTTTAGTTATTTCAATTTAGAGACTACAGACATAATTTAGGCTTTCATTGGTCAACAGGCATTATTTACTTCCATTAAGCAAAAAAAACTAAAGTAAAACTCATTAAGAAAAATGTTCAATAAAACTCCAAAATATTAATACAAGAGCACTCACTTACATGATAAGCACACACTGGGCAACACACTTGCCAAGTTCAAGTATGGATTTTTACTGAGCCGAATTTCTTTTGGTGGTTCTCCCAAGAGTGAAGTCTGATTCTTAGAGGCAGCCTGTTTATCAAAAACAAGAGAGTGGGTGCTTATTAAGAGGTATGAGACAGTAAGAATGCAAAAAAATCAGAGAAATATTTATTCTTCAATAAATCTAGTCTAGTGCCATAAAAATCTGTGAAACCTAATGTTTGATGCTACAAAGTCTTGAAATATTCCTGAATACTGATTTAAATTATGACATTTCACCTGCTATTATTTTTCAGTGTTTTTAAACTATTCTAGAACCATAGAACTTAAAACTGAAAGAGAATTAAAGGCTATGTGTACAACCTTCTCATTTGAACCAGGAGAGTTTTCACGTTCACAAGAAAAAACAAGTCCCATACCTTATTTTCAGAAATACTGTTACCAACATTTTCTTACTAATATTCTCATGTGCAAACCAATTATACTTCAATTTTAAAAAGTTAAAAAAAATTTTTACTTAATATTGTATGGCCACAGCCAAATGACAAAGGCAAACCTTATTTATCTCTGGTTAAAAATAATACCAAAGAGAACAAGTAGATTTAATAAAATCCAAATCAACGTTTAGATTATAACCCTAGAAATTCAAAGTTCTTGAAAATATGTGATATCAATTTATTTTTATACAACTAGTTGTAAGGATTCTAGTATTTCTTGAGTAGAAAAAAAGGAGACAAAATCATGGGCTGATTCTTTGATACAGTCCATATTCTTCTGCCATAATTTTTTGTTTACTTTTCACTCTCAGGTGGTAAAGATTTTAAAATAAGATACAATTCAGGTGAACACTAGTAGCTATGTTTTCTTTTTAAAATAATTTTTATTTTGTTCCCTGAACAGAATGAAGGAAGTATAATCTCAAGTGCTTATTTCTATATCTGACAGCCAGAGCTCCTTAACATTTGTTCCTTATCTGGCCAATCTGGTATTTGGATGGAGAAGTCTGTCTTGTACACTTTCATAGGCCCCCTAAAAGTCCACGTGTGCTTATGATATGTAAATCACAGGTGCAGATGTATTCATCCATTCATATGTGTTTACTTAATATTTGTTATGCTCTAGGCACTGTGGTAAGCATTGGTAATACTAAAATGAGTAAAACAGGGATACTACCCTTAAAGAAACTCAGCCCAGTAGATAATATAGTTCAAGAGATGTCTAAAATGGAACCATAAGATTATAATCGGGAGCTAAAACAATTAGATACAAGCCAAAGAAAAGCATTTGGCATGAGAAGGGACAGTAGCCTAAAGAAAATTCAATGACTGAGTAAAGGAAAGGAAGCCAGCAAAGAAATGTCAGATTTTATTTCTGAAGTATTCAGATTGCTAAAATCATCAGATTATATCCATAGTAGGGTTTCTCAACTCTAGCTATGCATGAGAATCACTTAAAAACCTTAAACAGAGTCTCCCAACAAAGAAAAGCCCTGGACCAAATGGCCTCACTGGAGAATTCTACCATTTAAAGAGGAATCACCATCAATCCTTTTTAAATTCTTTCAAGAAATCGGAGAGAATGCTTCTTAACTCATTCTATGAAACCAGTATTACACTGGTACCAAAGCCAGACAGACAGTATAGGAAAAGAAAACTACAGACCAATATCCCTTATGAATTCTGATGCAAAAACCATCAACAAAACACTAGTAAACCAAATTTGGCAGATTATTAAAAGGCTTATATACCATCACCAGCTGGGATTACAAAAATCATTCAATGGAATACACTCCATTAACAGACTGAAGGGAGAGAAAAATACATGATCTTTTCAACTGATGCCAAAAAAGCATTTGACAAAATTCAACACATTTTCATGATTAAAATTCAACACCCTCAACAAGCAAGAAAACTACCTTAACATAACAAAACCCACATACAAAAAGCCAACTTTATACTCAATGGTGAAAGACTGAAAACTTTCTTCTAAGATCAGAACAAGCTAAAGATGCCTGCTTTTACCACTTATGTTCAACATAGTATTGGAAGTTCTAGCCTGAGAAGTTAGGCAGGTAAAAGAAATAAGAGGCATTCAAATTGGAAAGGAAGAAGTAAAATTATCTCTCACTGCAGATGACATGAAAACCCTAAAATTTAGACACACACACACACACGCTGTTAGAACTAATACATGAAATAAGCAAAGTTGCAGGATAAAGTCAACATGCAAAAACTGGTTGTGTTTTCATATACTAACAATAAATGATCCAAAATGAAAATTTAAAAAACAATTCCATTTACAATAGCATCAAAAAGAATAAAATATTTAGGAATTAACCGAACCAGGGAGGAGAAATACTTGTATAATGAAAAACCACAAAACATTGCTGAAAAAAATTAAAGAAGACAAATAAATGGAAAGACAGCCCATGTTCATGGATTGGAAGACTTAATATTGTTAAAATGTCACTACTACCTGAAGTGATCCACAGATTTCAATACAATCCCTATCCAACCTTGGGGTCAGAAATAGAGAAATCCACCCTAAAATTCATATGGAATATCAGGGGACCCCAAACAGTCAAAACAATCTTTAAAAAGGTGAAAACAGAAGAAGAATGGAGGGCTCATCCTTTCTGATTTTAAAAACTTAATACAAAGCTACAGTAATCTCAACAGTATGGTACTGGCATAAAGACAGGGATATGGAACAATGGAAAATAAGAGAGACCAGAAACAAATCCCTGCATATATGGTTAAATAATTTCAATGAGTGTCAAACCTACTCAATGAGGGAAAGAACAGTCTTTTGAACAAAAGTGATGGGAAAACAATATTGACACGCAAAAGAATGAAGTGGACACTTACATAACACTACATACAAAAATGAATCAAAAACCTAAATGTAAGAACTAAAACTATAAAAGTTTTACAAGAAAAGCTTAAGTGGAAAGCTTCATGATGATGGATTTGGCAACGATTTCTTGGAGGTAACAGTAACAAAATCAGAAGCAAAGAAAGGAAAAAGATGGATTATTTGTTGGGCAACGAAACAAGTCTCAACAAATTCAGGATTATTTAAATCATATCAAGTATTTCACTACAATGGTATCAAAACTAGAAATCAATACTAGGAGGAAAATTAGAAAACTCACAGATATATACAAATTGAACCACACACTCTTGAACAACCAATAGGTCAAAGATGAAATCAAAAGGGAAGTTAAAAGGTACCTTGAGACAAGTGAAAATGGAAACACATCATACCAAAACTTATGGGATGCAGAAAAATCAGTTTAACAGGGAATTTTACAGCAATAAATATCCACATGAAGAAAAAGGAAGATCTCAAAGAAACAACCTAACTTTACATCACTAGGAACTAGAAAAAGAACAGACTAAGCCCAAAATTATCAGAAGAAAGAAAATAATAAAAATTAGAGCAGAGATAAATACAATAGTATGAAAAAGACAGACCAATGAAATTAAATGTAGGCGTTTTAAAAGATAAATGAAATAGACAAATTTAGCTACACTAACCAGGAAAGGAGAGAGAACTCAAATACAATTGACCCTGAATAACACAGGTTTGAACTGCACAGGTCCACTCAGATGTGGATTTTTTCAATAAACATAGTACCTGTATTTTCAGTTTACAGTTCTTCAAGTTAACTTCGTGTGGGGAAAAGTTTGTGTTCAATTAGAGATCACAACATATGGAATCAAAAGAACAATGGTCCTGATTCTATCCAAACTGTTTCAGCTTCCTACCCTTGGGTGAGTCATTTATCAATTCCTTTGTTTTTGAGGGAGAAACAGTAGAATATGGATTTTTGGCTTCTCAGAAGTCCATGCCCCTAATCCCAGCATTATTCAGAGTCAACTGTAGTTATAAATGAAAGTGGAGGCATTACAAATGATACCACAGAAATACAAAGGATTATAAGGGATTATTATCAACAAATATATGCCAACAACCTGAGTTACCTAGAAAAAGTGGATAAATTCCTAGAAACATACAACCTACCAAAACTGAATCAAGAAGAAACAGAAAATCTGAACAGACCAATAATGATTAAGGAGTAATCAAATACTTGACAAAAATGAAAACCCAGGGCCAAGTGGCTTCACTGGTGAATTCTACCAAACAAGAAGAATTAACATTAATCCTTCTGAAAATCTTCCCAAAACTTGAAGAGGAAGGAATACTTCCTAATCAATTTTATGAGGCCACCATTACCCTCCTACTAAAACCAGAGAAGGACACTACAAGAAAAGAAAACTATGAGGACTGTACACCATGATCAAGTATGATTTATCTCTGGGATGCAAGGATAATTCAACACAGGCAAATCAATAAATATGATACACCACATAAACAGAATAAAGGATTAAAATCATATTATTTCAACAGAGCAGAAAACACACTGGACAAAATTCAACATCATTCCATGATAAAAACTCTCAACAAACTGGGTGCAGAGGGAACCTATATAACCCAACAAAATAAAAATCATATATAAAGGACATGCCCACAGCTAACATCATACTCAATGGTGAAAAGCTGATAGATTTCCTTCTAAGATCAGAAACAAGGTAAAAAAAATGAAAAAGAATATATGTATGTTCCTATATGACTGAAGTATTGTGCTGTGCACT